TTCTGGGATTTATTTACCTTCTATAATTGAAACTTTGTAGCCTTGAGAGGAGCTCAGAGCCTGCCAGGGCAGGCGGGAGGGAAGCCTCCTGCTTGCTCCAGCTCCATGGCCATGGCCAGCTGAAAGCAGGTATCTGGGGTTTATTTACCTTCTATAATTGAAACTTCATTGCTTTGAGTGGAGCTCAGAGCCGTCTCGGCAGGCAGGAAGCTTGGCTTCCTCCAGCTCTGTGGCTGCCGGCCGCCATCTTGGTTGGGCTAATTTGGATATAGTCACTCTGATTGGCTGGTGGGCGTGGCTTAAGGCATAGAGAAGGTACGATCAAATTGCATGTTTGCCTTTTATTAGTGTAGATAGTGTAATGTAGTTGGTATAAACATTTGATCTCAATAGGTGCTGATCCCAGGGGTGTTACTAGAACTTGCTTTGAAAAAAACACACAGAATTCTTTTGCTAGTTTGGTTTTTAAGTTCATATGCTTCAATGAAGCATATGATATGCAGGGTAACTTAATTTTGATTTAAATTCTGTGTAAATTGGTGACTCAAATCTTTATTTTTTTAATTTAGTTACACTGCTTTTTTTTCTTTCTGGAAGTAACAGACTAACTTGATTAACTTCTAGAGATTCATGAAGAGGCTACATATTTTAGAAACTTAAGATATGGGCACTGGCTACATCTCAGGAAAAGCATTACCAAGGCAGTTTGAAGAATCATCCATTCTCCTTCCTTCCTTCTTACCTTCCTTCCTTTCTCCCTCCCTCCTTACCTCTCTTCCTTCATCCATCCATCCGTCATCGGCCTATTTCTTGTGGTATATATGCTATTATACATACTAGGAGCACAGCGTGTGATTTGAAATTGCGTGGCGCCGCCCACCCTCGAGTCGCCAGTCCGCCCCTGCCTCACTCTCCAGCCCTTGAAGCAGCCACAGCTGCTGCTGATCAGGCCCTCCCCGAGCACAGGTTCGTGGAGGACTATGCCACCCTGCCCCCGACCCTGCTTGCATAATCTCCTCCTGTTTGGTCGACTCGTTATTGCGTCCCAGTTAATTGGTATATTTTTCTATTTTATATATAGAGATATGTATACACATACACACACACACACACACACACACACACACACACATATACTGAGTGGCCAGATTATTATGACTACCCCATCAGTACTTCATTGACACTTGCAAAAATACTGAATATTGAAAACTTCCTAAGCAAATACTCTCAAGGGTTTATTATTATTATTATTATTATTATTATTATTTGCATAACTAATTCACTTCATTGTACTAATGGGGAGGTCATAATAATCTGGCCACTCAGTGTATATATTACTCTTTAAAGTTTTTCTTCACCTAATCAAGGCAAAGTCTCCCTCATGTTCTTGAAAGCACTCTTTCATAATACGAGCATCGTGACATGGCTCATTGTCTTATTGGAAGAAGCCATCTCCATTGGGATACGCCATCATGATAGGATGAACTTGATCAGCAAAGATACTTAGGTATGTTGTACTATTCAGACGTTGTTCTGCACGAATTAAAGGGCCAAATCATGCCAAGAAAACATGCCCTAAACCATAACACTGCCCCCACCAGCTTGAAGGGTTGTGCACATGCATGTGGGGTGCATGCTTTCATGCTGTTTCCACCAAATTCTCACTCTGCCATCTGCATGATGCAACTGGAAACATGATTCAACGGACCACATGACTTTTCCAATGCTCGACTGTCCAATCCTTGTGTTCCTGTGCAAATTGGAGACGTTTTTATCTTGGTAACTGCAGACAGCAAAGGTGTTCGAACAGGCCTTCGGCTTCCATATTCCATACGATGTAGTGTATGGCTAATTTGCCTACAAACGTCAGGTGGTCGTCATAATCTGGCCACTCAGTTCAAATATGTCCCACGTTCAAAGGCTGTTCAATCGCGTTGTTTACCCATATCTTCAGAAAAAAATCACTTCTACTGTCATGGTAACAACCTGCTTCCCTATTTATAATGGTCTGGCCCTCTAGCAACTTCAGTGGGAAATTATAGCTAATTTGCCTACAAACATCAGGTGGTCATAATAATCTGGTGGGTATATATATACTCAGTGTGGGTATATATATGTAAAAATCTGCCTTTTCCTGATTTATTTTTCAATGTTTGCGGAAATTGAACATGACCTAAAATAACTGTTCTAGTATCCAAGATAATCATGACTTTC